AAGAGAAACCTTTTCTCTCTTTCTCTCTCTTTCTTTCTCTTTCTCTTTTGCAAACTTTCGATTTTCGAGCTTACACGGTGGTAACTCTGTTGTTTACTTTCTCAAAGGTAGACAGACCATTTCACGAATTGATAATGATATTGCAATTTGGCAAGTATGGCGGAGCGAGAAGAGGGAAAGAGGGGACAAGAGAAACACAGAACGACTCGAAACGTGATTCGCTCTTTTTCTCTCTTCTATATTATATATATATGTAAGTAAGTATTATTTACCTGTTATTGCTCTGGGCAAGCACGAAGCGTGGAGGAAGCCAATCATTCTCGACAAGTGCGCATCACAACGTAGTTTTATCTGCTAGCGCATGATCACCTATATTTACCGACTTATTTTCCTACCTATAACATATTTATTTATCTCTGTATTTACATTCACACGTAGATACACATACACACACACACACATATATATAAAATACATACGATTCATTTCGATCGTATTTGATTACATCATTTGCTTTTTGTCCAATTCGCAAATAGTTAATAGTATAATCAATGGTGCGTCCTTGAGAATGTACAGTCAAATCGAAAAAATATTTATGTACGTTGGAGATCATCATACCGATGTTTTTAGTTCAGTTCTTCTCTAACAGCGGAAATGATAACACGCGACTTACGCGAACGTAACGCGTTTACTATGGGTTTACGATTCGTGGAAGAAGAATTCTTGCAACACGGATATTTAACAGAGGAGGTAAATAAAATAAGAAAATGTGCTGATTCAGAGGCGCGTGCGAGAGAGAAAGAGAGAGAGAGAGAGAGAAAACGTTTGACCTTAAAATGAAAAAAAAAAAATAAAAAGAAAAAACGCATTGAAGTAGCTGGTGGTAAACGTGGTCGCGTCGTAATGTTTTCCACGAATACGACGCGTGAACGATAAATGAAATGGCTGTTTTCGTTGGTATGTTATTATCTTATTTTTTTTTTTAAGTGAAAATTTCTTTAAAATCAGGGGGTGATTTAGAAAATTGTGAAACGGAAGAACGTGAAACCGATGAAACAAAAATAATTAATTAATTAATTAATACAATTCAATATATAATTTAATTCTATATATTAAAATTCAGTGTCACAATATGTTTGTCCACTAATAATTCCGAAACTACTCAATTTATTTTTATCTATTTTTTTTTATGTATTTTTTTTATTACTAATTTAAAGATTTTTTTATTTAGAGTTAGGTTATCTAGGTTCAGTAAGGTTGTTTCAATAGACGGCACTGTATGACAATTCAATTACTTTCGAAGCTTGCTTTTCTTTGAAGGTTTCACTTCTACCGTGTGTAATCTGCACACATCTGCTTTTTTGTTTATATTTTTTGAAGGATAAGATAATAAAAAAAAAAATAATATGACAATGTAGCGTTTTTCCCGGAGCGTTCGCGTAAGAACGCAGAACGCGTAAGTAACTATTGTAAGTGAACGCAAAGGGTGGAAGGTGGGGAATAGAAAACGTTCAAGCGCAATAGGTGCGATAACGAGCATCGATTTCCAAGGGAATTTAAACGTTAGAGAGATAGAGAGGATAGTTTTGTAATCCGTAGGTGCTCGCAGCATGCAAGGCGTTCCGTTCCCATCTTATTTTTATTCTCCGTAAGCACACGATTCTCTCTCTCTCTCTCTCTCTCACTCTTTCTCTTTCACTCGAAGTCCGCGGAGGCTTGTTAGCGATTTGCGTGGCAAGAAAAATGGCCGACAAATGTCTTCGGCTGATTTGGTACGCTACGTACACTTGGAAATAATCTCTCTCTCTCTCTCTCTCTTTCTTTCTCTCTTTCTGTTTCTCTTCGTTTCTCTAAAGCGACAGCAAAACAACTTGTTCGATCCCACGTCTACGACCTCCAACGATCTCTTCTCTTGAGTAATTCTTTTGGAATATCTACCTATAGAGAGTCAGTCGTGGCTCCTCTTATGTTTATACGCGTTTGTGTGTACAGCTGCATCGCTATTGCGAAACGCACGAGAGGTAATAATCGGCATAACGTAACGGAGGAGGAAGAAGAGGACAACATGCGAGGGCTTGGGAGAGAGAGAGAGAGAGAGAGAGAGAGAGAAGGGAGCGGAGTAGTTTGCTTCTGACATAACTGTGACTCGCAAAGCGATAATTTATGTGCATCCCCGAACGAGCATTTGCCGCCGAGCGTTTGCGAATTGAGAAAAATTCATCGATAAATTGGTCTTATCTAACCTCTTTCTTTTTTTTTTTGTTTTTTTTTTTTTTTCCCATATTATCTCGTTGTGAGTCTCTTTATCTCATCATCTTCTCAGCTTCTTCCATTATAATAATATTCGCGTTAGCAGCAAGAGATCGCTAGACTCTTGTTATTGGGTCAAGGCGATATTATCAACGTAACGAGACTTATTAACGTGTCCCACATATTTATCTCTCTCTCACTCATTCTCTGTTTTATTCCTCTGTCTCTTTTTATTGGATCGAGAGCAAACGATCGCGAGAAAAGTACAATTATAGTATTTAATAAATCGTATCGCAAGCTCGCTATAATTATATGATTAAATCGAAATACAGCAGGTGTATATCCAGTTGTAATAAGCAAGAGAGTGGCAAGGCTAAGTATGCCGAGATTTGAGAAGACATGCAAAAGGTAGGCAGGAGCTTGGGTATGTTTTTCTATCGAAACGTTAATCCACTCGCGTTGACTGATTTCACGGCACGATAAAATGTCGTTAACTCCAGGTGAGAGACAGGTTTTCAGTAAGAGTTGCAGGGACTTTGAGTACGGATACCGGATGTGGGGATATGCAGAGGACGAGACGCGTGGGATGATTTCAAGAGGGACGCGCGAGTAAGATCCCTTGGTATCTACCTAAGCAACTTTATAGACTTATTACCTCGTAAATAGGTCATTTGGCTAACATGTAAAATCCTTGAGTAATATTTTGGGCTTAATTTATAATTAAATCATCCCCCGTTCCGTTGGATTATTGTTTTAACGATATATACAAGATGTTCTTTTATCTCTTATGGACAAGTTCGGACAGTTCTAGCATACTTTTGGTAAAGTTTATACCCTATTATGGAATACGTAATAGCAATTTAAAGTATGTGCATGAAAAAGGAATTAACACGTTTAACGGTATTCGTCCATTGGTCGGGCATCGCCCACGTCGACGTGTTCTGATTGGCTAACGAGTTGATTCGTCGACGAGGTAGACCTTTAATTGCTTTAATAAACGCCAACTCACTCCTCGTTTTTCTCTTCGTTGTAACTTTTTGCACGTACACGTACACGTACACGTACACGTACACGTGCGTGTACACCTACGAAATAACGAGAGAACGCCTTATCAGCCTTATTAGAAATTATAAACGACTATCCGGCCAATCTGGGTCGCAGTTTGAAGCTTAAGGAGATTGGCAAGGACTATTCTCTAAATGTGTCAAGGATAATCACGAGAATCACTTTTTTTTTGCAATGGGACGAGGGCCTTCATGCCAAACTTATCGGGCATTCGTGAGAAGGATTGTGGTCGGTGGGCCCTAGATAGCTCAATTGGTTAAAGAGCAGTCTCGTCCGGAAAGCGAAAGATCCGTGGTTCGAATCCCCCGGTCCAGTTTTTTCACAAATCCTAACAATATTTTGTTTAGATCTGTAAGAAATGAATTTCTGTCAGAGAATTTCGTGTGATGAATATGTAGAGTACTTGTTTATAGAGATAGAGGTTTGCGCATACATGCGCAACTCGCTTTAACCACAGCGGAAGTTAATTGTTAGCGTGGAGGAATGACAGGAAATCATCGGAAACCGGATGGAAAGCTGTTAAACAGAGCGTACCCTAGTCTAACGATGCTACAAACTAAATGTATACGTAGCATACATCGATTGGTCATTTGAAATGGATAACATTTTCCATAATATCGCGGGAATGCAATGCGGATTTAAAGATATCGATTGAGACTTTCCAATAATGTCACTTTTGTCTATTTAGTTTTCTACTTTCTTCTTCCATTCCTTCTTCTCCATTCTTTTTTTCTTTTCTTTCTATTCTTTGATCGAACACGATTAACGCAATAAGTGAACCGTGAAAAACGATTTTCGAGATTCACGATGAAGAAGAAATTGCACGACGAACTCTCTTCCTCAAATCAGAGCACGCTCGCTCCTTCTTCTGCTCGTTTGTCGAACGAGTCATTTTGCAAACAAACCTGTTGACAAGAGTTTTGCACACGTACTTTCCTTTTATATGGGTCGTCTCGATTAGGACAAACGTTTTCCCTCAGTCATGCGTATCTCTGTGCGTGCGTACATGCGCGTGCGTGTGCATGTACTAAGCATTGACATAGAAACTAGTTTGCCATTACTTTTCATAGATATATTTCTGAGAGTTTAAAATGAAACTCAACTCGGCTCAATTTCCATCTTACAATTTTGTCCTTTGGTAACATATACACATAGTACATATGAACAACAACAACAGTAGAAACTCGTTTGGAAGGAAGGAAGGTACGTTCACACGAGTTCAGTTTTACACGTGGGTGTGCGTCGTAAGTGGATCCATGAAGAGGTGACATGACCAGATCAGATTGAACAATGTTCGCACGAACGAAATGATCATCGGCCCTACGTATTTAATTTCATTACTTTATTCCGTCATGTTCTTCGACACGAGAAAAACTTGAAACGACGGACGAGAGAGACAGCATCAACTCTTCTTCTCGATTCTTCTCCTCCTCACTTCTCTATCTCCTCTTATCTCTCTCTCTCTCTTTCGTAACGAGCGAAAGTTGGGCGAATGTACCTGAATCCCATCAGCGAATCATTTTATTTCTTTTTATTTCGTACTCTTCTCTAATAAAGAAATATATATATATATATATTAGGGTGGGTCAAAAAAATCAATATATATATATATATATTTGAAATGTCATCAATCAAAAAATTGAATCAAACGTGATTTTTAATTAATTATCTTCTTTTTGTTGCAGGCTACAAGAAAGATTTCAAAATGTGGATATCTGTTCGTCGCACCTGACTGGGATTTTTCGAATCCTCTGAATCGGACAAAGGTTCGTTATTTCATTTATCTATTATCGTTTAGAACTATTCACTCCAATTCTGATAGAATAATAGGTAAACATCTATAGGCCGCTTCCGATCGTTAGCTCGTATCGATGCCACGAGGAGTTATCGTTGGTCCATGATTGAGAAGATCGTGTTGTAAAATCGATCCCTACCCCCCGACCCCCCGCCTCCCCCCCGAGTTTCGCAATTTTCTCATTATCGTGAAAGTGAGGATAATCGTGGCTGCCGCATATGTATTTTCTATTTTTTTTTCTTTTTTTTTTTTTAATCTCTTTTACATTATCGATATATAAAATGGTGGAAGATCTCTTGACGTTTTACTTAATCCGTCAAAGGAATGATTAGATACGTGTCTTCTTTTTTTTCTTTTTTTTTTTTGATTCGATTATATTTGTTATTCAATCGGGCACACAGAAAGAGTGAACGAAAGAAAGAGAGAACGAGAGAAAGAGAAAAAGAAAAGAGAATGCCTAACGGATAAGAAAATTTCAAATCTCAAGCATTCCGTCGCGAGAGTTCGTTGGAGAAAGTGAATAATTAGAAGTCGCCTTAAGGCTTTAAAGGCCTTTGAAGCTTCGACCGACGAACTCGTCGTCGTCGTCGTCGTCGTAATGGCCGTTAATGCTCGGTGGTATCGGGGCTCCTTAATCAAGTGGATCTCGTTAATTCATGCTTTTAATGTTGCCTTGTGCTACAAAATATTCTCTTATCGTGAACAATCAAATTAATGTGGATTAGTGTTTGCATTTTATTTCGAATCGATCGAAAGAGCAGCAAAAAAATAAAGGTCAGGGGGGAGGGAGAAAAAATTAAAAGTCACGCGCATGTATGACGTATGATTTGTTATTTATTTACAAGCACACACGCATTCTCCATTCTGTTGGTAAATACTTCTTTTCTCTCTCTCTCTCTCTCTCTCTCTCTCTCTCTTCCTCTCTTCCTCTCTGGTAGTTTGCAATGGAAGAAAGTTCTATTTTTGCTGTGGTGGCGAAGCTTAACGAGCGTGTTTCCAGCGTAATGACGGCTCGTCGTCGCTTCGCAAACGCGCTTCTCTCTTGCCATACATGTAGGAGAGCTTGGCTTAAGCCATCTTTTCTTTTTCTTCCACTTCTTCTTCTTCTTCTTCTTCCACTTCCTCTTCTGGAAGTTGGTCGTTGCAGGCTTTGCAAAATGCATTTGCTTACGGCTCGTACCGCGACGAGTGCACGGTGCCGTATAAAATGGCGCATTATTTGCGAGTTATGTCCCGCGCGTACGCACTCTGGCTCTTTTCTTTCTCCTTCCTTTGTGCCGCCTCTTTCAAAGCCAACATCACCACCAACAGCAGCAACAGCAACAGCAACAGCAACAGCAACAGCAACAGCAACAGCAACAGCAACAGCAACAACCTTAAGGCGGTGGCCCCCTTGGCGCGCTCGCGCGCGTGCGCCAATATAGCGACTTTCTTTTCTCTCTCTCTCTCTCTCTCTCTTTCTCTACCCCCCACCCCCTCCACTCTTTCCTCTTGCATATGCTCATATTTTTTCCCCCTTTACATTTTTTTTGTATCTCGCACAAAAGTAGGTACTCTTTCACGACAGACGGTAGCCTCTCTTCCAACTTTTATTTGACACAAGTAGCAAACGAGAGTCATTGCTATTTAACTTTTCTTTCAAAGAGACACGCAAGAGTTGCCAACTTGCAGTTGGCAACTCTTTAAGTTTAGTTAGATCGTAGTTTGATATTTATATCTTTTTTTCTCCGATGAAAATCAACGGATACAAAAGGATCGCTTTCATATTGCACTGAAGAAGTCTGTTTTCTTACTTACTTCCGGAGTACATCCATCCATCGTGCAAAGTTTCCTTAATGGATAAAGTTCATGCACGTCGACCTCAGTTTCGTTTAGTTTCGCTTTCTATTATCTCTATACCCCATATCTGCGGATGGGTAATTGAAATGATTTGTTGTTGTTGTTGTTGTTTTATTTATTATTTCTAGTAACGCGAAATATTAGATTTAGTATTATTTGAAAGTATTATTCGGTCAATGATCTCTCTCTCTCTCTCTCTCTCTCTCTGTGTGTGTGTGTGTGAAAAGTGAAAAGCATCTCTAACGTTTCCCGAACCCTATTAGATGGGATTTTATTCGTTTCCTTGGCTTCGTCATGTTTTTTTTTTTCGTTTTACTTTAACCGATAATCGGGTTACTGAATTTACGCTAAGCTACGAGAAAATGATCGATAACTTTTTATAAGAGATTTGTTTTGTTTTGTTTTTTTTCAAAATAACTAAACCATACAACACACCGAAAGATAATAAAGAACAGTAGTACGTAGCTAACGTATATATTCCGTGTCTCGGTTTTGTCTTATTTCTTGTGAAACATGTAACGGTCAACCCGGTTTACATTTCGCAAATTGTTTTGCGTCTTATTAATCGTATTTTTACGAAGAACAAATTTCAACTGAAATTTAATCGATATTTCCTTTTTTTTCTTCTTTTTCTTGTTCCTTTTCTTTACCTACTTACTCTATATATTTTAAATCGCACAATGTTTTAGGTAATTCGATAATTTTTCTTTTTTTTTAAACAATCTTTCATATCGTCGACCACAAAATATCACCGTTATCTTTACATTGATATACGTGAAATAGAATAAGAGATTTGCGAAAAGAAGAAAAAAAAAACAAAAAAAAAAAGATATCAATCGATTTCGAAGAACGCTCGACGACACCTGTGTCAAAAATAAAAATGAAGCACCACAAGTAGTAGGCGGCCTCTGATATATTTCTTTCTCTTTCTCTCTCTCTCTCTTATAAACGCAGTAGTGTAACAACTCGGCTCTTGACTCGCCGCGAAATAATCCGTGTGAACGAACCGTCGTGAGAACGTGAAAAAAAACAATGTTTCTGAGTCGTAAGGAAAGCCGCTACTACATGGTGTATGCCCACTTGGAATAAAAGGAGCTCTGCGAAGCGATGCTAAAGAGAGAAAGAGAGAGAAAAAGAAGAAGAAGAAGAAGAAGAAGGAAGAGATAAATAAGGAGAGAGAAAGAAAGAGAGAGAGAGAGAGAGAGAGAGAGATAAACAGAGAGTGAGAGTAAGAGGGGCAAGAGGTAGAAGGAAAGAAAGAGAGCAAGTAGTTAGACGCATATTAAGGTCATCGTCTGGTAGGACGCAAACACGAGACCTCGATTTTAAAATTCACTTTCGGCATCTTTGACGGCGGCCCGCTCGTCCACTCGTGTCAGGTGTTTTTCCATCATGAGACGAAAATAATCAAAAAAAAAAAAAATAAAACAACGTGTGTGCAGATCACACGTGTTAGAAGTGAAACCTTCACAAAAACGAAGTTTCGAAAGAATGAGACGAATGTAGAATATCTCTGGTGTAGGATAATTGTAGGGTTTATTTGTTATAATATTATTATTATTATTATAATAATATTGTTACCACATTTAAAAATTACTTTTATGTTTTATTAAAATATTATACAGAACATATTACACAGTAAACAAGTTCTCAATTTGAAGAAATGAGATGAGTTGCTTATGGTAACTAAAATATGTATGGTTATTAAACACTTCTCTGCGATAATAGGAAAAACTGTATGGCTATATTCTGTCTCATTCTTTTGCAGGCGCTCAATCCTACATGTTTGTCTTTTTTTTTTTTTTTTTTTTTTTAGTATCTTGGCCATTTCACAGACGCCCGCTGCTCTGTTACATCGCCGCCTACCGCTGCGTTACATTTTTTCAAATTACACCCATTCTAAAGAAGTTTTCACTTCAAAAAGTGAAATATTCTATCAGCCATTTTATTTTATTATTATAGATCAATTTTTTCCAATTCTTTATTGCATGAAAACATGTTTCCTCAATTTTCTGTATTGCCCAAGAGCAAATAATTATCGTAACATGGATTTTATCGTAACATTTATTTCTCATGTAATTATTAAAGATGGATGGTTCCTTTATTTCTCTCTCTTTCTTTTTTTCGTACTACTTCGCGAATCTACTGATCCGTATAAAATCGTTTCGAAACGATCGAGTAAAAGCCACCACCTTCCTGGCGCTTTCTTCTTTCTCCTCCTCGTTCTCCTCCTCCTTCTGCTTCTCCTTTTTCTTCTTCTTTTACGTACATTGGGCAATCGTTTCGAGTAAGTCTCGTGAAAGAATTGGTACGTCAAACGAGTTATACGTTCTTTTCTCTCTCCCCTCCTCCCCCGATCCCCCCCCCCTCTTTCGATATCTCTCATTGGCCAAGAATTGGCAGGTGTTTCGTGCATGCGTATAATAAAAAGCAGGCCGCGGCGTCGGGCTTATGGAAAATGATAATTTATCGACTCGCTGGCATAGCACATTTGCTATACGTTTTAATTAATATATGCGACAGACTTAAAGTCGGTCGAGGTCACGTCGGTGCCACTCGAAGGTCCGATCGAAGAAAAAGTTCGATCAATCGCGACGATTCAATTCTACGTTACGATTGATATTCATTTAGATGAGAAATAACGGTGAACATCCCTATCACGGTGTGGACACTTCGTTGTCGAGTTGATCATTAAAAATGTCAAGACATTCGATTGGTGATTATATTCCTTGTCGTTTGATGAGAATCTTTGAAAAAGATCGTTATGCACGGCAACTATTATACACTCTGTTGAATTTTCAAAGCGAGTGCAATGAAATAATCAATAAAATGATTCAGCTTTAATTCGGGCCTTTTTTTTTTTTTTTTTTTTTTTTTAAACGGATCGTGTTCGTTCCTCCTACTTTTATTTTCTACCTTGTTGAACGAAATTGAGAGATACTCGTCGAACGTTAATGTTTGCTTTAGAAAGGTAAGAAAGAACAACTTGGAAAGGTTTCTCTCTCTTTCTCTCTCTCTCTCTTTCTGGATGGTTTCTCCGATCCGTTCAAAGTTAAGAATATTGTTGAGGAAGAAACCAACCAACGTTCTCGAGTAGCTCGCAATGACGATATCGGTGAAAGCGAATCTTCA